ATACAAATACGAAACTACAAAATTTCAGATTAATTATAAGTTACATGCAAGCTCTAAGAGAGCTGAGTGGCTAATAGTCCAGTCATTTAAGGTTTATTTTGCGGAAAAATTTCTACTGAGCTGAATTTTGGTGTACACATTCATGATGGCGTTTTAATAAAGATGTGAAAAATCGACATTGATATCGTGCCGGCTGAAAAAGTTATAAGGGTCAAAAGGTCACGAAAATCAGTTTTTCGGGAATATCTCGCGACCTATGACTCGGTGGTCAATAAAGGTCATTATAAAAATTATTCCTTATACGATTATCTGAAAAAATGTTTTTAGTATTTTTCTGTAAAGTCAACTTTTCTGTAAAGTCAACCGTTTTCGTACTAGAGCGCTGAGAAAGCGACTACATTATGATGATGCACTCGTTTCCGCACCACCTTTGAGGTAGAATGCAAGGCTCGTTTTTTCACATGGTTTCCCCCGTAGGCATAATCCCTGAACTGTAACAAAAGGTTTTTTTCAATTTTATGCTCTATAAATTTTTTTTGTATATAATTTTCTTTTATATTCATTCGTCGTCGATTTTCTCAATTTTAACTCCATCAAAAGTTGCTGACAAAACATCGAGTGGACTTATTGCTGTATCGAAGTCAACATCTTCATCATTTTCTTCACTAGTGGTCTCTGCGTTTAAGCATGACTGACCACGATAATGTTCACAAGCTTCAGAACATCTCAATCCAATTTTTTTACATCCACATTTGCCGCCACAATCTTTTGTATCGTTACAAAAGATTGTGTTCAGTAGATCATCGGGTGCTGGTGGCAATAAAGTTGTTATTGGTTGTAATATATTATTTTTTAACTTCCAACCCCACTGTTCTGGATCAATTTCTTTTCCTAGCCAGGTTTCTATTTGATAACAGACTCGATAAATATGCTGTTAGCTGATGAAGAAGTGGGTGGTAATAATTGAAATTTCAGAGCTGTGCTTTGTCTTGTTAGTTTAGCAAAGCTGCAGTATGTGTAATTGTTAATTGAATCTTCTGATTTTGGAGCACCGTACATTGCTAGTAGAAAATGTATTTCAGCATTGACAAGGGCATCTCGAGCGCAATTTTCTTGTTGGAATATTTCTGCAGAAATATTCCAACAAATCGGGTCTTTTTTCAAACATCCTCAAGACTTTAATTTTTTCTATCCCAAAAAGTGTTGAAGTTGTGCACATCCGGTCATACCATGTAGAAACAGAATATTTTTTTCTGCAGTGTGGATACTTGTTGAGGCTCTCAGTCGAGTATATTTTTGTTTCAACATTGTTTTTCGCTGGTTTCTTAAAAAAATGGATGTACATTGATCAAGTATATGTGTGCGTGCTATGAGAAGTACCAATAGATCTATGTCTTCGCCAACGATAATTGTAGTATTATTTATTGATTTTTCAATTGCTGTTTCAATTATTGAAACCTCAACATCATCACGTGATTTTCTTGTAGAAATACCAACTTTTTCGAAATTCTCAATGAGTATTTCAATTAATTTTCTTTTGTTAACGATTCAATAAACATTTTTTTCGACTGATAGGAATTTCCATAGACTCATTGAAGTGCACTTCACAAGATGTAGAAACGGCTGCGGTTCGTCTCAGTTGTTCCATCGCTTGGATATTTTTACTAGTTTCGGAGTAACCATCAAAAATGACAACAGTATTTTGACCAAAATTGTTTGATGAATAATTAATATATTTGTTAATGACAATATTGAATGTATCATTTTCTTGACATACAACACACAACGCCCGAGTAGAAGTTAGAAGTTTTAAGAAAACTTAAATACATTGATAAAAAACAATAGAGTTGACGCCTTATATGTATACGGTATACAATACCCTATGTGAGTGCATTCAAACTGACCACGGATTGGTAAAACCAGTGGTAATCATTACGGTTGATGGAGGGGAAGATGAAAATCCGCGTTATCAAAAAGTTATGCAACACTTTAAGCGACATGATCTCGATGCATTGTTTTCAGCTACCAATGCTCCTGGCAGAAGTGCGTATAACAGAGTAGAGCGCAAAATGGGTCCTCTTGATTGTGAACTGGCTGGTTTGATATTGCCTCATGACCATTTTGGGTCTCATTAAAATGAACGTGGCGTTAAAATTAATAAGTATCTAGAAAGATCCAATTGATGGCTATCATGTTACTGCAAAATATGTTGGGCCTGATTTCCCAGACATTAAATGGTATATAGAACATGTGCATGAAAGCCAATACTTGCTTCAGATTGTAAAATGTAGCATAAAATGCTGTCGTCCAAGAAGTGGCTCACTTAGACCACTAGATGAAAGGTTTCTTCCACCACCAGTAAAAGTAAGATAAAAAGTTGATGACTGGTTTTGGATGATGGATGGCAATTTCTCATTCTTCCAGTCAATTTAATTACACACTCAAATGTTTCACTCAAAGATTTCCTGAAAATGCCTCTTGATTATTTTTGTCCGACAGTCAAATTGAAACTATCAAGTAGAACATGCAAAACGTATGGTCTCATTCATGCTTCCGTAAAATCGTCACATCGAGAAAATTCACAAAGAAGTAAACACCCACACTGATGTCAAAGTTAGGCCTAAAAGAGTCACTGATCGTCGTGCTAATGAAATGATGTGCATTATTCAAAATTTAAAGGACCACGATGTTGAATAACTCGATGAGAACGACGTAGGCCAGGGGTCGGCAAGTAGTTTTAGATGGGGTCCGTATACTGTGGGAAAATTTTAATGAGGTCTAGAAAGAAAACAACTGATAATAGGGTGCTACCTATGTATTATTTTGGTTTCAAATCAAATTCTGAATTATAGAACAGAAGACCCGAAATTAATATGAGAAACTGCACCGATGGTTATGAGCCAGTTTGGTTCTCGAAAGGAACAGCAAATTCGAAGTGGGTCTTCTATTGGGTGATCGTTAATCTCAACCAATATTTATTTTTCAAATAGTTTTTTTATAGTGTCGAAATTTATAGCTAGTTTCTTGTAATTTTCATATTTTTCCGAGATATGTTTGGTTCAGAATTCTCATTAGGATACCGTTTCATACATTTGCAAAGACACATCTTCTTGAAAATCGATTTTTTCTATTTGAAGTGGTAACTTTGACATATTGAACAACTTGGCAGCCACATCTGTCCATTCTGCCGCTACATCGTTACTAACGGCCTATTCTCAATAACTGAACAATGTCTTCTTGGGAAGCTTCAAAAAAGCTTATTTTGTTCGTGATATTACTTTTAAGATTATAATATTTGTACCTTACTCTTTGTTGAATAACGTGTCAATAAAGTTTCTTCAAATTAATATTATATGCCTTAAAGTCATCTTTCCTAAATCTATTTTCTTATTTCTGCTGCTCATGAATCAATAAAAAAACAAAATACATCAAAAGAAAAATGCATGTAATGATGTTTACGTACGCATAGGAGGGGGTTAAGAGCTTTGCCTACTTTCGCTGACAGGGGGATGGAAGGGGTATACTTATGTAATACTTGAACGGCCCACTATATTTGGATTTCCATTTTCGTAGTTTAAACTTTGTTGATTTCTGAATACTAAAAACATTGTGATAGAAGAAAGAATTCAGTTTCAAAATGAATGAAGATAATTACAAAATGATATTGAAAAACTGATGAAGTTTTATAATAAATCTACCACTGTTATCTCAGACGGAAAAGGAGTTAGCGGCTTCCCGCGTCAAGTAAAGCAATTTCAACTTAAAACTTAGAGGTGTATAGTTTTAGGAGAGTTTACTTTTAGGGAAAGAATAGGTTCTTCATCTTGTGGTGTTATCCAAATGGGTGCTGAAATGGCGATAAGACAAGTGTCTCATTCCGAAACATCAATATCCGCTATTGAGGATGACAGTGACCCATGTAAGTGAGATTTTATCTTTTTCATACACTATATTGCGTAACGTTTCTGTGAATGACATCTGATTCAATTCCATAATGAATATTTGGAATACAAACTGGATAGAAGCAGTCATTATAAAATAAAACCAACCAAACTGTTCCTCCTCCGCCCTTCCTAGCTCTTTGAATTTCCTTCCTACTTCATTGTTCATTTTAAATTTAGCGCTCTTTCTTCTCAAAGTTGACCTATCCCTCTTTTGTTTCAGACTGTTATTAGTCAGACATTTTCTTGGTTCACGATTGTTGAACGGTAGTTATTTATGTAAGATATCTGATTATATTTCCACAATAATGTTCACGAAATCATTTTGTTCGGAGCTATAGCTTTCGTAAGAAATTCTGACAAGTGGGTGACTTTTATATTAATGTTTATAACTTTCCATGTCTTACTTCTATCAATGGAACTTCTTTCAATTTTTATTTTTCAGATTCTCATTTAATAATTTCCACTTTTTAGAATTCCCCTGATGATGGTCTTATGACTAAAACATTCAAGAATAGCTTGTTTTCATTGATATCTGCACTATAACCCAAAGGCACACTTGCCAACAAACAATAAATATAAACTAATCTTTGTTCATTGATACAACGAAACTTATTTATTTGGCCTCAATTAGTCAAATTTCTGAAAATACTGGATGAAATCAGATATCTTACTCAAAAGAAAACCATTTCTAATATTTTTTATTTTAGTTATGAATAGCAGCCTTCGCAAAAAATATCATTCCGAAATTATTCTTAAAAAAAATTTGAATGTTATTAACATTATCAGTTTCTCCAAAATATTAATTTTTACTAACCTCGTACATAACATATTCAAATACGTAAAAGTCGTGCACAAACAAACATAGATTAACAATGAACACGCGACGAGTCCATGAAAATTCAAGGTCAAGGTCGCTAAATTATTTACTGCATTATCGTCGTTTGTAATTTGAGGCTTTATATAAGGCGATGACAAATTGGGAGTATACGTCAGCAACTAACATTTCTATTGTTGAAAAATGTTGAAGGAAATTGTGCTTTTGTTGTTACTGAAAGTTAACCTTTCCAATTATTGTAATACACGCTCAGTACGTACAGGTTTTGCTAGACCCCACCTAAAGCGATTGATGTGAAATGTGAGTTTTTTATCCAATCCGGAAAATTTGTATGACTTTTTTAGTAAATGTCTTCCTTTCGAACGATCATTTTTCATATTAATGAAGAGAATTGAAACTTTCTATGTTTTTACCACTTTTATTTGTAACTAACGTTATTGCAGTTTCGTCCTATAAGGACATTTTCAAACTTAAACTTTAAACTAACAATGGTTCATGACATTAGCCCTTATATACCACCCCTTTAGGTACTAAAATAGAGGTACTTGGCTTGATTGAGTACCTAAATTTACAGTTCACAATGCGGATTTGCCAACTTGAAAACCGGTGATTAAACTAAATCGATTTGATCATTTAACAGGTTCCACCCGCAATGTTTATGCTTGTGAATTTCCGTATCGTTTAGATTCGGAAATTTGTGGTTGAATAGCGTTTTTGGAAATTTCGAACACATTGTCCCACATAAACACTATTACTCTCCGGACACTTAAGATTATAAACTCCAGATTTCTCCAACTAGTCCACCTCATCTTTGGCATTGAAAATGAAATCAGATAATCTGGCATGTGGTCTGAATGCCACTTCCACATTGTTTCTTCTGAAGAAACCCGCAATTACCTATGTTTTTTTTCCAAAATATGTTACAGCCTGGCCACAGGACACTCGCTGATGCGAATATTCACGCGGTGCAAACGGCGAAGCGTCTAGTGACTGAAACAAACGCATAACAATGTACTTATGAAGCCACGCGCAACGGCGACCGGCGAAGCGACCGGCGAAATGTACCAAGCGAACCGCGTGGGCGACTTGCGGCGCGACGGGCGAGTAAAACAAATACATGAATCAGTACGGCGCGAGCCACGGAGTCGAGCGGCAGTCGCGGCGAATAGTGCAGTGATCAAACGAATTTAGTTGTTTTCGCCGCGAAAAATGAACACCGAGATTTTTATTGCTGAAATACTAGCTAGCACAGCATAAATTTAAACATTTAGTGAAGAGATTGTGGGAAGAAATAATAATTGAAAAGAACAAAAAAAGAATGATTAAAAAGTTAGAAATTCATTATTCATTCTACCGTCAATTACAAGTTAGAAGTTGTTGAACATTCAATTACCTGATAATATTTTGGGCAAATATATTCCCAAATAAATTCAGTAATGAAAAAATCAGTTTGCGACCTTTACTTTCTTGGGAAAAGTTGTTCATACTGATGGATTCTATAGGTAATTCTCCAAAAAATGATCAGCTTATTAAATATTACCACTATACATAGATATATAGATAAATACGTAATATAGATTAATATAGATGGATATGTATAGCACATACCTTAATGTCAAAAAACATTTTTCATCGGCACTTAAAATTCTATTTGCATTCATCTTTTTCTCCAATTCAGGTCGAATATTCTTAAGAATATAATCGAAGGTTTCAATACTTATTCTCGTATACTCAAAATTTTTTTCTGGATATAATCTGTGTTTCTCGTACTTCTTTTGGAATACCCCATCTATACCCTGATTCTTACTCAAATCATGTACACCAGAATCCCTTCCCAATATTAGGTCTTGAACCAAAAAACTATTACTTTCCAAGCAATATCGAGATAATTTCGATAAAGATATTTCGCTGTCGGACTTCTGGTCGCGGCTGCGAACGTGACTGCCCGTGCCCTGCAAACGGTGCCGCGCGAATAGTCGCCTCGTTCCCCGCTTCGACGTTCGCACCGCCGATCCCCGTGCTAGGCCGTAACAGCCTGGCCATGGGACACTCGCCGATGCGATTATTCGTGCGGTGCGAACGGCGAAGCGTCTAGCGACTGAAACAAATGCATAACAATGTACTTATAAAGCCACGCGCAACGGCGACCGGCGAAATGTACCAAGCGAACAGCGTGGGCGACTTGCGGTGCGACGGGCTAGTAAAACAAATACATGAATCAGTGCGGCACGAGCCACGGAGTAGAGCGGCAGTCGCGGCGAATAGTGCAGTGATCAAACGAGTTTAGTTGTTTTCGCCGCGAAAAATGAACACCGAGACTTTTATTGCTGAAATACTAGCTAGACCATCTATTTGGAAGACTGATTAAAAAGTAAGAAATTCGTTATTCATTCTACCGTCAATTAAAAGCTCTAGGCTCTAGGAGTAGAGCCTAGATGATGATAGTACGACCAGTCATCGAAAGCGCTCGCATATAATCAAATAGAATTCATAAAGCTTCAAATCCTTTTTGTGACTTACATTAATATTAAAATACTGAAAATAAAGGAAAATTAGTTGCATCTTTCAAAAAAAAAATCTATACGTAGGTATATAGATTAATACGTAATGTAGATCAATATAGATGGATATGTATAGGGTAAGTACATACCTTAATGTCAAAAACAATTTTTCAGCGGCACTTAAAATTCTGTTTGCAATAAGTTTTTTCTCCAATTCTGGTTGAATATTCATAAGAATATAATCGAAGGTTTCAATACTCATCCTGATATATTCAAAAAAAAATTCTGGATATAATCTGTATTTCTCGTACTTCTTGTGGAATTCTTCTTCTGCACCCCGATTCTTATACAAATCATGTACTACACAATCTATTACAAATATTAGGTCTTGAACCAAAAAACTATTACTTTCCAAGCAATATCGAGATAAATTCGATAAAGACATTTCGCTGTCGAACTATTGGTCGCGGCGGCGAACGTGACTGCCCGTGGCCTGCAAACGGTGCCGCGCGAATGGTCGCCTCGCCTCCCGCTTCGACGTTCGCACCGCCGATCCCCGTGGCCAGGCCGTTAGAGTTACCCATTTCTTGATTTCTGGTAGTTTGACCTGAGGGTATATTACGTTGCGCGTGGCTTCATAAGTACATTCCTAAGCGTTTGTTTCAGTCGCTAGACGCTTCGCCGTTCGCACCGCGCCTTCGCAGAGAGGTGGTAGATCTGGTCCTGAATTATCAAGGCGTACTGAACTTGCTTAGGTTCGGAATTAAACGACACACGTACGTGATTGAAGAATGTCTTGAATCCTCAAGTCAGGTTTACATAGGTGTTTCCCACAGGGACTTTTGAACTTTGACAATTAATAACGGCCATCTTGTTGAAGTTAGAACTTTCAAATTAGTTGTCATTTATTCAGTCTGTTTTGCCAAATTACCATGGACGTATGTTATTATCTGCATTCAACAACATATGCAGATAATAACAATGTTTTATCAAAATGGGTGCTCTGTTCGGGCAACGTACCGCGCGCTTCGCCCATTATACGGTAGCCATAATCGTCCTACCGAGAGGATTATTCGCAATGTGGTCCACTGATTCGGTAAATGATTGACCAACACCCGTACATCAACGAAACGCAAGATTTGATGAAAATATCGCCGTTGTCTATGAGATTGTGCAGGAAAAACCAAGGCGTTCGATTTCTCGTCGCTAACAAGAACTCGGCCTTTCGCAGACTACAATTTGGCGAATTTTGCGTCGTAACTGAGCCAGGAACTGAGGGTAAACGACCATAAACAATGTACTGTGTTCGCTGAATGGGCTCTGGAGCCCATTTTCATCGGAAATTCATCTTCAGCGATGTGGCCCATTTCTGGATGAATGGGTACGTGAACGAACAAAATTGTCAAATTTGAAACGATACCAATCTACACAAGATTCAAAAGCATCCAATGCATCCCAATAAAGTCACTGTTTAGTGTGGATTTTGGGTTGTTTCTTTAATAACGATGTTGGCCATGCCATCACTGTCAACGGCGAACACTATAGTCGATGATTACCAACTTATTTTACCCTGAATTGGATGATCTGAACTTTTTAGGTCAACAGAACAAATCTTTTTCGAATCCTATATTAGATGATGGTGGATACTGAAGAGGAATGGGAAGATATATTTTGTGAGGAGTGCATTTTTTAAAATTACTTGAATTGAAAGGGGAGTATTTTTAGAAAGAAAGGTTCTGGCTTCTCCATCTTCATAGATGTGAGAGATGTGATCAGAGATGTGAGAATCTTCCAAAAAATGATTGTTCCTTGTTTTTGATGTCAATGACGTCGACTGCTATTGTCATTAACCTCGTGTTCTGGGTGAGTTATGTCAGTAAATACCCGAGCCTGCTAAGGAGCATTATGGCTAATCGCAATCTCCTCAGCAATATATAACTTAAGCATAATCGATGATCTCTGGATCGTAAGTCGGGCGCATTATCACTCGCGCCAGTTACTGTTTATTTTAATCGCGTTGAAAAGTTATTTTTTCAGTAATTTATTTTTATACTTCTTATTGGAATGCCAAGGTTTTATGTTGTATAGTGTTTGAGATGATAAAATGCAAACAATTACCACGTTTTTCTTTCTAAATGTCTTCATTAAATTTCGGGATAAAGACTGATGCAAAATTTTCTGAATTTGAATCCACCAGAATATATATGTTCATTCATTCGTTACTGAGACGTATAACCCTCGTTCTCGCAGTCAACGCACATACCACTGATGATGTATGCCGCAATAGTAGACGAAACGTTTGACACTTCGGGTTCTATTGAACCACGGCCTGCCAGTTCAGATTTCTTTCTCTATGTTTCTATATCATTCCGCTAATATTTCATCATGACTAAGGAATCTCTTGAAGAAAATCTTACGGAAAATTCACGTATTCTTTTAAAAAAATATATTTAGTGAGGTTGACGACATCTCTCCTCATGAAAACGCCATCTATGGGATCGACAGACAACTCAATCTTCGGAGATATCAAAGATTAACGAGGCTCCCCGAGGAAGACAGTTACGGAAACAAGCTTCGACATCGACCGCCGATGAGATTCGTCCTCTCTTTCACTGCAGCTTATTATGGAAATAATATATTGAATAATGAAATGATTCATCCGAATTCTTATATAGTGAATGTATTTTCACTATTTCATTGGTATTAAAAGAATTACATTCCAAATTTGTTTCAATCAAAATTATTAAATAAAATTGAAAAAATGTGTACCTGTAATTTTTCAGTTATTCAACTTTTAAT